GGTGTTGGATGCTGTTAATTTGAAGCAGGGGAAACATGAAGGCTTTTAACTGTTTGATGGGGGCTGGGCGAGGTTCAAAGGTCAGAGCCACTAATGACAATGTGTTGAGGAGGGCTGCGGTGTCACCGACATAAGAGCGGCTCTGTTGGTGGTTTTCACTGGCATGTTTGTGTGTGTGTGTGTGTGTTTCCTCTCCCTTTCTTCTTTGGTTTATATATATCCTGTTGGGTTATGTCCATCTGAGCTGATCTAGCCCAGCTTTATCCACTTAGCATTTCCTGTGTATTAAAAGCTACTCAGTGACACCAAGCCACATGTTGACCACCATCTCCCTCTACTCACTCACCTCTGCACATTCCCGTTCCTCTTAGAAACGAGCACAATACCCTTCTCCACCTCTGATTTAAGGCATCCCATAATTAGCCATTCCATAGCTGGTGGTCGCCTCGGAGAGAGGCTGGTGGAGGATGGTGGCTCTCCTCTCTCTTGCTTCCCCATCCCCTCACATTACAGCTTCCTGTATTGATTGCTGGGTCTGGTGATGACGAGGGCCGGCTGATGAAAAGGAGGGCTATTTCTATCTAGGATGTCAGTGTCGATATTGATCTCTGGCTCTTTCCTACACACACACACACACACACACACACACACACACACACACACACACACACACACACACACACACACACACATATATATATATATGTACGGTAACGTGCATGAAGACCTAAAGATATTTATTACACATAAGGAAGCTTGCAAGCATAATCAAGCCCTTTTAGAGTATCTTTCGATCTTTTTGTTGGATAGGTTTCTTCCGTTTAAGGCATGGTGCTGGCTGCTGGTGACCCTTAAGTTTAAGCACAGAGTGGTGGTGTGGTCTTCCCAGCAGGCTGGGGGTGGTGCTACGATGGTTATACCACTGACCTCAGGATTTCTCCTGCTGACCTGTGGGGTTCCTGATCAAATGGTGGTTTTGTTCCTGGCCTCCCCCAATTCCAGCCACTGATGAGGAGTTGCTCCTCCATTGGAGCTGAACAGAATGCGGTGGAGGTAGTTCCATGAACCCCCACCCCCCACCCTTGTCCTCCTCTTCCTCCAGATTCCCACCCATATCCACCTCCCTGTGCTAAGCCACTCCCCCATTTTGTGTTAGAGTCTCTCTTGCTCTCCTTCTCTCTTTTTCGTTCTGCTTGGCATTCTTTCATTCCCTCACCTTAGCCGTGCCCTCTCCTGACCTCTTTGCGTAAACTGAAACGGGTCAGGACACCCGCCAGGTCACTTGAGAGGAGGGGACTCAGGTTGCAGGTTCTGATTTGCGAAGTTTTCGCACACACACACACACACGCTTACACATGCATAGAGCAGCTCGGAGGCACACATGTATATACAGATCCATATGCTGCAGTTTATTACGTAATTGCAGAGACTGAGCTGTTGCGAGTGAACGCGTCAGAACGTATCTGACACAAACATGATGCCATAAACTATATGGAGGAGATTTTAGTGTGTGTGTGTCTATGTGTGTTTTCCTGCATTTCTACAGAACAAAAGGGGATGTGTGGTTTCCTCACTGGTGCATTGTGGGAATTGAGTGAGTTGGAGAGGGGGGGGTAGAGTGCTGAGACAAACCACTCAACTTTGACCTGGAGAGACAAGCTGCTTCTGGACTGAAGACAGGAGAGGAAGAGGAAGGGCTCGTGTGCCATAGTCTAGAGACCAGCTGATGTTTATTTATCATTATTCTGAATATATTGTGTTTCATGGGGGATGGGCACAACCTTTTGTTGTCTTTTTACTGATATCTGCTGAACAAATGCCTTGTAGCCATTCAGATGGTCTAATGATGGCAATTATAAAATCAATTGGTGTTTCCATTTGAATGACCAGGATATAGCTCGGCTGTAGCTTCTCATTTGGTTGATTATTTTGCTGGTATGAGCAGAGAACTTTGATAAAAGAATAGGTTAATGAATATGGAATCTTAACATTATTACTATTATTATTTTGTAACATAATGTTCTGAGATTGATCATGATGCTGCTTGCTTAGTTTGTGACTCTCCTCACCGTCCCTTCTGTGTTATTCCCTTTTTTGCATCTGTGGTGCATAATCTTTCCTCTTGCTCATTTCCATTCCCTGATTCTCATCTATTCCTCAAAGCCAAATCCAATAGCTGAATGCCCAAAATGGATGAGTCTTCCATCACAAATCGACTAGAAGCAGAGTGGCCTTGGCTGTAAGTCTCACTTACTGCAGTGGGGGAATCAAGCAGGACATCAGAGGAAGAATGAATGAGTGAATTTTGGACATTTTGCTTTTAATGCTAAAAAAGGCGATTTTCTCTTTCGAATAAATTGTTGAAATGTTCAAATGTGGGGAAAAAAAGAAAGAATTGTTTAAAAAAGGTTAAATATGAAGTCACAACTCTTCCGCGTATATATCTATATTTTCTGAGGACTAAACTGAAAACCTATTTATTGTTTTATTATATAAAAAAAGTAAAGAAAAAAATTGTGTATTATTACTCATTGTGAGAGAGGCCTTTGGAATCCAGATTAATAGCTATTTGGTAAAAGTTTATGTTTCATATGTACTAATTTGTGTTTAATATATATGAAAAAAATCAAAATCCAAAAATCTCTAATGAAAAAAAAAGATTAAAACGCAGGGAAATAACATAATTATATATCAGCATTGTTCAAGTTTAAGAAATTTGATGGCTTTCTAAAACTTTTTTTGTACTGAACTATAAGTTGTAAAAATACCAATTCTAAAAAAACCCTAAAAACAAAAACAAAACAACAACTAATAACCTTTATTATTTGAAACTGAAGTTATTTTTTTTCATGATGTCAAAGTTTGTCTTTGATATCATTCTTTTAAGGAATAAAGTTCAAGTAAAGGGTAAAGATAAGAAAAGGGAAAATATAAAAAAAATGCAACTTACTTAAATTGTCTAAATTATATATATATAATTTTTTAAAAATGCACAAAAATTACTTTAAAAACAGAAAGAAACGAACATAAACTGATTTATTTAATGTAGAGTGGATATTTTATTTTTTCTTATCTATTTGAAAGTTTTTCTTTAATCCTAAGAAAGTCTTGGCGTGACCCTCATTTACCGAGTGCTGTGATATGTGTTTAAAATGATTTTTTGAATAACTGGGTGTTGTAATAACGACAGTTTGTGTTACCTGAATTTTTAAAGGCGACCTAACAGATCCCAAGAAAATGTATTTGATTGCATATTCTTACATTGAGATATTCTTTGTGTTTGCGGTAGGTTTTGAAGTTTTTTCCGCTGTGTGAAACAAGGTTAAATGTTTTCCTTTTTTTCATACTTGTTTTCCTGAAGGAAACAGAGACATATTAAATGTATTTCGTTTCACTTCCATTTAATCCACGTGGTATCCCAGTGGTCATTTATTGTACAGTGGTTTTCACATGGACAATTATCCGAGTGCAGTGAGTTCAAACACTATTCTTAGTTTGTAATTAATTCCCACATCCTCTGTACGTCTTTCCTCTCTCTTAGGTTTTCATCTCTATCTACAAACCACCTATAGAGTGCCTTCAGCTTCCTGTAACCTCAGTCGCTGCAGAAAAATGCTGCTGTGCACAATTTCTCTCCTTCTTCTATAGTTTCACATCTATATCATCTGATCATTTGTGCCTTTCTCTTCCTTTGTCTCCTACATATCTGACTCTACAGCATGCACTGCTTTTACAGATAGCCTGTGTGTTATTTATAGGTCTTGATGTATAGTAGGTAGTAGGTTTGCTCTGCACACTGCATGCCCATGTGGGCGTGTGTTTACCTATAAGAGCCGCAGGGCTTGCTGCGATTCATGAAGGTCACGGATTCTGTGCCTATCAGCCGTCCGCGCTGTGCGATCAACAAGACATAAATCATTGTCCAGTGGTTATGTAGTAACTAAATCAATATTTCCGATCATGTAGATAAGATGGATGGTGGATGCTTTAAGAAAAAAAAAAAGATTGTATAGGTGTAACATTCTTGGAAGTGGTGTCTCTGCGAAAAGTAGATAAAGAGAGTAAACCAAGGACATATCATGTGAGATAAGTCGCTCTGTGGAGCAACCTTCACGGCAGTTGGTACAAACCACATATAGTCAATCCACCATGTTTGAAGTAATGTATTTGCCTCTCGATGTTCATTGTCTGCTAATACTTGTTGTGTTCGCTGCATGTGGCAGTGTGTAAAAGCCCACCTCGTGGACTTGCCCGTGTTAATAAAGTAAATGTTGATTCTTGAGCTATGTGGAAATAAAAGGAGTTGATTGGGGAACTTTTTGTGTGCAGACGTAATAATATATCTGGCAACTGCTCAATGTGTAGATTTAACCTAATGGGTGTGGGCTTGCGTAACATTAATGCTTTATCTTATGCAGACAGAAAGAGGAACTAATCCATTTTCACTGAAAGATTGCATTTTCTGCCTAAGAAGGGGGCTGTCTTTATGTCTAGCTGCATACTGAAGGCTATTAAAGTGTAATAGCCTTTGTCAGTTTCCATGAATCATCTGGGGTTAAAAAAATATTCAATATAACCAACAAAGGTAAAACGCACCCTGATACTGCTGTATAAAAAGCCTTTAAAGCTAACATAATAGAGATCTTTCAGTTGCCTTTAACGAGCTACCTTATTCAGTGACGTGGTTTACTATTATAAAAGAATCAGATTTACATTTTCCTGGAACAGTTTTGCTCTTACAAAATCTAACGTCCTATAAATTAACCTTTAAAGATTTATGTTTGTATAGGCTTGCAATTATAATATTTTAACCTAAGGGAAACAAATGCTTTGACATTAAATTTAAAGCAATTTCAACAAACATGAGCCCTAACGTGTCAGATACTCTCGCTTATAACACACAGGGCGTTATCCTACCTACACACTCTTGTGTCTTGCATTTGGCAATAAGCATCTGCCTCTTTTAAAGGGATAATTGCCCTTTTTTATTCTTCCAACAGAGCAAACTAGTGATGGAGGGCTTCCGCAGCTTAAAGGAGGGTGAGCAGGTGGAGTTCACCTATAAGAAGTCCTCTAAGGGCCTAGAGTCCCTGCGGGTGACCGGACCTGGTGGGGGACCCTGTGCAGGCAGTGAGAGGAGACCCAAAGGGAAGGTCCCATTGCAGAAACGCAAACCAAAGGGAGACCGGTAGGTTTTTATTCATTTTTGAAACAAAAAAAAATGTATGTGTATGTTTTGCGTCTGCATGAATGTAATCACACGTATGCATGGTTTTCCTGAAAATGTGAAATACGTGAATGCGTATAGGTGCCTGTGGTTAGCTTTGAGAAAGCAAGACTACGCTGTAGCAATAGGAAACATATTCTATACGTACAGCTACCCGCAGTGAGTGGCTTCTGAGTGGGCTGAGATTATAGATTAAATCTATTCAATCTGCCTCGGTACATGCCTGTTGCTATGGTTATTGTGCACCATAATAAGGAATTGAATAGGGCACTTCGCTTGCCATTGCCGCTATTTTAAATCAATTTGCCAGCTTTTACATTAGAGACTATATTAGCATGGGGGTAGATTGGACCTATATGCATCTCAATGCAGCGGTAGCCAAATCAATTGTTTTGTCCTCAGTTGAATCCTGAAGGGAGCTTTGCTGAAATCTGCAGTGGGAGCCATAGGGAGTGCCTTGAAAACGCTAAGCAGAGTCCTCCTGTCCTCCTACTGAAAGAAAGTGCCCTCATTTGATGTGTGGCAAATCCTGCCAGGTAGAGTCTAAGTACTGTATCTGTTGTGGGAAGGTATCACATGATTTCAAGGCTACATTTACATGAGAAAGTGTAGCGCTGGCACCCTTTATGTTGCTGCATCACTGTTGCTTCAGTGCTCCAATGCAGCACTATTGTGTTTTTTTTTTTTTTTTTTTAATAGTGGTAAAGAAAAGCATTTGTTAGAAAGGAAGAAACTGTATCTGACAGAGAAGGCTCCCTGATTGGTTTACACAGCTGAATAATTCAGCTTATTTTGGATAATTGATCCAGTGTTAGGTCAAGTGTCTGTCTTCTGCTAATGTGGTAGCAAGGTGGTTTTGGATTTAGTGATGGCAGGTAGATGTGTGTTTCTGTCTTTGTGAATGCTGGTCAGTGGGAGCAGCTACTGGTGGGTTACGCTGCGGGTTATTCTGCTATGCAACGGATCATTTCTTTCTTTTCTCTAGAGCTGCTCAGATCACGTTGTGTAAAACTGTTCAGTTTAAAAATTGAGTAAACAATTCATCGGTTGTGGAAATAGTGGCTAAAAACTTTAGTGATGACAGTGCTGATTTTTTATCAAACAGAAATTAGCAGAGAAGTCGATGTTTAACAGTAATTGTTGAGAAATGTTCATCAGCTGTTGCAGAATTTTCTTTAAACTAATTAAGCACTCATCTGTAACCATTTCCCTGAAAAAAAAATTTTCCATTAGCATTTAAAGCTCATTAGTCTTAATATGTGATAAAAACATTCTTCAATATTAAACTTAAAGGACATCCAAATATTTTGAGCTGTTTTGTCTTCATCCAGGTTTTTCCCAGTTTGATATGAAATTTAGTTTTTCAATGTTTTCTCTTTGTGTTGCACGCATTTGAATCAAATTAGCTGAGATTAAACTGTGCTTTCATTACACTAAATGAGTGCATGACCTGAGACATACAAGAAATCTGAATTACATGAGTGAATATTTTAAACTTTAAAACCTAAATTCTCCAATAAATTGATGGATTTTCATGCTACCTCGGGATTTGAACTATAATTAGTATATAAATATAATTATTTAATTGCACGAATTAATTTATCAGATCACTGTACTTGTATGAATCCAGGTTTTGAGGACACTTACTAATTACCTCTTAAAACCTACCTTTAAGTCTTTCTTAATTAATGTCACAGCTTTTAGTGAGGTAGCAGTCTTATCTGTAGTCTCTATTATATTCTTTATGGTTTATTTATTGTAGAAAAATAATACTTTTTCTTTACAAAGAACAATTAAACATTGCATTAAATTTTTCTTATTTAATTCAAACAGCCAGTTGTTATTTTATTGGATGCAAAGAACAGGTTAAGTAAAGACAATTTATCTGGTTCCATAGAAAAGGCCGTCATGGTTCAATTTCTTATTTAGTGGCCACAATTTGCAGTTGGGTCTACTTGTCAATTCTTATTTTGTTAATTGGCAATCAAATCAGATGCACCTTAAAATGTGTGCAGTAAGCAGTTATTTCATAATGATAAGTGGTTGAGTTTTGCACTGCTGCAGTAGAAATTTAACACAGACTGATGAATCCAGAATCATTTGTTCTAGACATCATTGCCCAAGAGATATTAAGCTTTTTACACCAGGACATTATTAAAAACCTGAACGGTGACTTGTACGTGACATAAAGCCTTAAAAAAAAGAAAAAAGAAAATATGACAAAAAATATTTATTATTTAATGCAGTGCAAAGAGAACTGATGGCATCATGATGGGCTAACATTTTGGTCTAATTTCTCTTCATGCTTTTATTGTTGCCATTTCATTGCTGGCATTCTTTTCAGAGCTAATAATATAATGCAGTTTGGCATGCCACAGCGGCCACACCAGACCAAAATCATATACAACACTCCCATCTAGTGGGGAATTTTAGTTGGAGCCGACATTTCTACTCCGTAGTGCCGATGATGGACAAGAGTGAAATAAAATCTTTATTCTTCTTTTTTTAAAAATTCTTCTTCTTCTTCTTATTGTTATTATTATTATAATTACCATGTTAGAAATGATAGTTATTAGTAGGGCCATATTTGTTGTAGTTTTGCCTTTTTAAATCAATCAAGTGTGCCGATTTTCAGCTTTAATTCAAAGGGTTCAAAAAAAGTTTGCATTAACTGCTTAAGAATTTCAGTATTTTAAAAATACTTCCATTTGTTATTTAAATTATTATATATAACACTGTATTAATTGTTTAAAAATAAAGCATTTTAATGTCCCGGTCAGATCTGTTGCTTCATTATTTCATGACCAATAAAGCAGACATATCTGAAGTTGGTTCCATGTGTTGAATTTGTATTTTTCACTGTGATTTTAAATGTGAGGCACAGAGAAATGTCAGTGCAAGTGAGGGACGCCAAATATTCTAAAAACAAATGAATGCACCGGGTAATTCAGCAACATCAAGAGATCAGAAAAACCAAAGGAGACAACTAATGTGCACAACGACAGAATTACTTTCATAGTGAAAGAAAACAACCTCACAACATCTAACACTCTGCCAAAGTCTACAATCAAGAGATGCCTTCATGAGGGTAATTACAGAGGCCAGATTAGACATTACAAGAAAACACCTTAACGAGCCTGCACAGCTCTAAAAAAAGATTATTGAAAACAAGATTAGCTCGTGTCATAATGATCGAAAGAGAAACGTATGGAGAAAGGAGAGAACAGCTCATGATATGAAGCATACCATGATCCTTGCCAGACATGAAGGAAATATTATGGCATGAGCATGTACGGCTACCAACCACTAGTGTTTACTGATGATGTGACCACTGATAGAAGTAGCAGAATGAATTGTGACATGTACACAGCTATACTCTTTTGTTTAAAATTAGCCAAATGTTGGTAAACTGATTGGAGAGCGCTTCAAAGTGCAAATGGTTAACGCTCCATCGAATACTGCAAACCAAGACTTTCCCTATGCTAAGAAATGGCGTATTCTTCAGTGGCCAAGTCTCAACCTAACCTGATCTCAACCTAACTGAACATGCTTTTCACTTACTGAAAACAAAAGTGAATGCAGAAAGAGCCACGAACAAACCTAGCAGAGCATCTGAAGGGAAGACACACAGCCTTTGGTGATGTCATTGAGTTCTAGGCTTCAGGACTGCCATCTGCAAAGGATTGTCAAAAACAGTCCTTCTATTTAAAATTATTCTAGTTTCTCTAATTATCTTTGGGCCTTTGCAAATGGAAGGCTGTATCAACTGCTATAACTCCTATACAGTTGTGTCTTTGTCCAACAAATTATGGAACTAACTGTATTTTAGCCGCAAAGTGCTTGCAGATTCAAAACTACAAAGTCTGTTTTCTGTTTTAAGAAAAAGAAAAGGAAAAGCTAAAAACAAAGATCCTGTTCATGCTTTCTGTTCTTTTCTCCTCTGTCCCCTGCAGCTGTTATAACTGTGGAGGTCTGGATCACCATGCCAAGGAGTGTGGCCTGCCCCCCCAGCCAAAGAAATGCCACTACTGCCAGAGCATCACGCACATGGTGGCTCAGTGTCCCCACAAGGCGCTGGCGCCCGCCACAGGCTCTCAGGACCAACATGCGTCTACCTCGGCCTCTAGCCCAGGGACCGGGCCTTACCTCTCTCTCCCAGAGGAAGAGGAGCGCTCTGGCTCGTCTCCTCTGGAGGGCTCCTCCTCTTCCCCCGAGGAGCCCCATACACAACGTGGCTCTTGGACCCAGAGGTGGAGGAAATCCTGAAATAGTCCATAGGGGTGAATCTTTCACCGCTAGCCTCTGACACCTCATGTCTCCTCTCAATCAAGGTTACCTGAAGCTCCCCTCATCTACCTCACACCTGTGAAAAATGGGAGGTCTTTATTCCTTTACTTTTATTGTTTGTTTTTTTTTGTTGTTGTTGTTTTTTTTTTACAATTTCTAACCAGCGCAGCTATGGCAACGATCAGTGGGGTACGTGATGGGCAAGAATGTGTGTGACTGACTTGCAGTCATTTGGTGCAGCTATGGCAACCACGGCTGGAATGGTGACTGCAGGGGATCACGCTTGTTTCAGTCTCTGCAGCACGAGAGTGAGAAAAAAAACAAAAAACACTGTATAAGTCTAGTCTTGATGATTGTTTTTGCCTTTGTACCCTTGGACCTAAGTGTTGGCCATTATGAATGCTTTTTCTCTACACGACTATCTTGCAGATTTAAAGCCACAAAATATCCTGTAGGCCTAATCATTCTGAAAAATCATGATGCATCCTTTTAGCACACACAGTAGCTCATCTTAAGAAGGATTAGAAGAAGACCTCAAGACCTCAAGACCCTCTAAGCGATAATCCAGACCCGCAGGACCGTTAGCTTGGCTTCTAAAGATCTTTAGGGAAACTTTATGGATCCCAGAGGGAATTTTTTTAAAAAGACAGCCAGCTGCTAGATCACACTCTATACTTCTTAAACACTCACATACATACATGCATACCTCTTATATGATATAGACCGGACCAACTGATTGTCAGACGTCAAACATGTGCAAGACTGAGAGAAAGCGCGTGTCCTGTGCGTGTTACGCATGCTCGAACAGAAAGCAAAACTGTCAGACTGAAGCACCTCTTCCTCAGGTGTGAGTCAACACTATTAACCCTTATGTTTCCTATTATCATAGATAGACACAGTCTATGTAAGACATCATATAATCCATCTAGATCATAGTTTAGATTCAAAGTAATGAACCGATCATTAGATTTCCATTTTGGTTGCGGCATAATTAGTTGAAAATAACATCACAGTTTATAAATTATAGTATAAGTCATTTATATATATATATATATATATATATATATATATATATATATAAAGTCACAAGATATAATTAAAATTCTATTAACTTTAAGTAATGCATTTATAAGGAATTAGCTCTGATCTATAGGTGTATATTGCATGAGATGCTTTGTTGGTGTGTGAAAACTCTCTCTCTATTTAACCATTTTCATTCATGACAAATCAAACTGACTTTAAAAAAAAAGCCAAACTCCATATTTTCCCTTATTTGCTAAATCAGATACTCAGAAATCGCCTTTGATACAGCACAAAAGCTCACCGTTTTGTTACAGGTGTAGTACCAGACCATTATACTATCTTTGTATCTTATTTATTTAATACCTCACTAACTATCCTTCTTGAAAAATGAATGTCAAGCTGTTTGCTCTCCCAGCCGTGTTACAGTAAGATCGAACCACCTGTTCCTCTTCCATCTGTGCCTACCATTTGTTAGCCAGCACCAGCCAGGTTAATGCGCAGTCCTCTTTGGGATGAGGTGACATCACTGCTGCTGCTTCAAACTCACTGAAACAAAAAAAAAGGAGAGAGAGAGAGAGAGAAAGAGAGAGAGAGAAAGAGAGAGAGAGAGAGAGAGAATAAGAGTGCTGCTTTTGGTATAACTTGAATCCCAAGCATGGCTTTAGTGGCACTTATTTGTGACCTAACAACTCTTCTCTGACCATACTGAATGTGAAAAGAGCTTATCTGAAGTCGACTCCTCACACAATTCAAGTTGAGTCGCTTTGGAGTTGTATCTTAATGTTCTGACAAATCAAATAACTTTGTACGATTATATCAAACTAGCGTGTGTGTTTTTAAAAGCTCTAAGTAGACAAGCAACATTTTTTGGTATATTTCCATACCAAAGAGTGTGGCTTTATTTTGTTTTTGAAGGCATTTAATGTTAAGACTTGCTGAAGTGCTTGCTATCCTCGCTCTTTCAAATAAGAGGAACTTATTGCTGAAAGCGCATTAGAGCAGTTGTTGTTGTTGTTGTTATTTTATTTTTTTTATTTAATGTACAGTGTATTTGAATGTGTGCGTGCGTTAAAGATCAAATCTCAACAATGCAGCATGACAGAGATAAAAAAAGAAGAAGTGAATGACCAAACCACAGAAGGAGCACAGCCCATGCTCGAAACTCTATGGAAACATCTTTTTATATGATGTATTTTTACATTTTTACACACAATTTCTCTCAGGATGATGAACTGTTCTCAGGGAATTAACCAAAAAAGTGTATTTTATTCTTTTGGGAATCATCCACTGACTTTCTCAACAAACTCTGTTAAGCAATGACGAAGAAACATATGTAACCGATTGATGTACTATTAGCAACTACCTCTTGAGTTATACATAGCTGTGCATTTCTTTTTGTTTGTATATACATAATTTTATTTTATTTCTTTTTCTTTTTTGATGACCTCAACTTTAGATCTCTGTTATACTGAGGTGTTGTGCAAGACGTTCCCTAATGTTGCCACAGACTTCCTGGTCTTCCTTCCCAGTTTTAATGAGTTTTTCTTTTACCGCAAAAGTTTTTTTTTTGTTTACAGCAAAAGGCTACCTCATAAACGCTGTTCCTCCACAAACTCCTTACCTCCTCCCAAGTCCTCTACCTCCTCCATGCAGTTTTTTTTTCTTAGTTAAAATGCCACTTGTCGCACTAAAGTCACACAGCATTTTCGGCAAATCAGCCCTAGCGGCACATCACTTGTGACTCCAAATATATTATCCTACAATCAAAGCCCTTTTCTTGACGCCTTTACACATGTCGTCAGATTGGGCATTTTGTCTCACGCATCCAGGGTGAAGTTTTTCTGCCAGATCTGTGTGCAAACAGCCAGAGAGTTTACCTCAGTTTGTTGGACTGGCTATAGAGGTGTTTAATAGCAAAATATATTTCACTGTCTCTGTAAAAACCCCATCAACTGTTGTTTTTTTGTTTGGTTGTATTTCGTCATAACCATTTTGGAAACCACTTGATGATTGTTTTAAGAAGGAAAAGGATTGTACTCAAAGAAAGGAGTGCCTAGTTTTCTTTTTGTGTACGTTTGACCTAAAACCAAATACCGGTAGATAACATCTTATTTTGGGGCTTCATAGCAGTGAGGTCATGGCTTTGGTTAGCCATTTTTACAGCCCAATCAGAAGTTGTGTGTTATCATGTCCTTTTTGCAAATTGCTTTTGTGGTATAGAGCGGCGGGTAACAGTTAAGATAAAAATTTGTAGATTTTTTTTTTTGGTAATGGTGAAATTTCATTAATGACAAGGAAAAAATGTTTGTTTTCTATACCTAACCCTTGAGGGTTTAAGACTGATGTTTCAAATAACTGCAGTATTATAGTTCATACTCATCTGAGGGAATCACTATGTTGCAGTGGGCCTACATAGTTATTATCAAAATGCATAACCCTGGAATAATATTGTGATATTATTGTTGTTATTAGCTTTGTGTTTTCTTCCAATCAATGTAACTACTGATTATTCTCTTGTGTACTGTTCAGTATTTGACACAGCCAACAAACCCTTTTCTATGAGAGGCAAATCTTGCTGCGGTAGTAATAATCAAATGGCTGTTTGAAGGTTTGTCAAGGCTGCATCGAGAAAAACAATTTGTTAAGTGGTATAATAAACCCTCTTCCATTTTAAATCACATGAACATTTAAACAAAAGCAAGAAAGGCTTCCATGCAATCATCAAAAACACTAGACAGTTAGTACCTGGAAGGTGCTTAGTTTGAGTAACATGGTTTTATCAGATGCAGTTTTATACCACAGAGGAAAGTGAAAACCAAAATAAAGAAATTTCGTAATAAATCTGACAGATCCCATTATAATTTGAATGTAAATCCATCTCAAAGTTGCCCAAGTGTGCCCCACAGTGGCGGAAGTAAATAACACAAATGTCACATGAGCAGCATGTGTCCTTAATGGCTTGTACAGAAGGCTAATATGGTGATAACAAAGATTGACATGTTAAATAAGGATTCTGGGAGCTAAAGGAAAAATTGTTGCCTTAAATCTTTATGGTTACATTTTTTTTTTTTGCCTTAAGTCAAAACAACTCTGCGGAGACTTCAGTTCGAGTAGCCTATAGTAAAAATTGGACTGCTTTACTGTGAAAACTGAATCTCAAAGTTTTGTTTATCATTCTTGAGAATCCCTAATTTGCTGAGAGCTGTCTAGCTTACTCAATGAAAGAATAACAAGATCATGTTTGTCCCTTCAATATCTAGTTGTAGCTAGCAAAAAACCCCCAATCTTCCTAGCCCAGGGTTAGAGCCAAAGGCTAACTGGGAGTGGCCATGCACAGACTAAAATGTGCCTACCCCTCTGTCCACTCTGCAAAATTCATAGTGAAACCAGTTAGGTTCCACACACTATTTTGTGTATGGAGCTGCCCTAGAAAAGACTATTTCTTAAAATGCTTAACATCTGCTTTCAGCTTTAAGGTACTATACTTTCAAACTAACCCAAATGACTTTTACAGGGGTTTATTAGCTTTTTCCCTTCTTTATTGGAATGTGAAGTTAGAAATTACACAATTTGGAGATTTAATGGCACCTTGCTGCTAATTCAGAACAGAATAGGCCAAGCTAATTCAGTATAATCGAAGAAAAAGTAAAGAGTGATGATATGATAAAATGACTTAAAAGAGACCTCCTTTTACTCACATGGCTCTAAGATCGATCTGAAAACCAAGAAGTTTATAGCCTAAACTGCTCCATTAAATCCATACAGCCTAGGCTGCAAGGTGAATTATTATTAATAATGCATCAGAAATCACTGAAGAAATATTGGATGTATGCCATGATCCTAGGCAGGGAAACCTCAGCAGAAACCTCGGTTCTCATATGGTGATTCTCGTATGGAGGTTACTGATGACAGAATGAAGTTCACATACCTCATGCTGCCTTTGAAGGCTGCTCTGTGCTTTGCCTTGACAGGAGAAACAATGTGCTGTAGGGGAAGATATCATTAATAATGATTTTTTTTTACTGAACTGTATCATGTCATACTGACAGATTGAACCACTCAAGGACCTATGAATTCAACCAAGGCAGTTTAATGTAGTTGTACTGATAGCTAATGTAACATTACACAAATCTGTTTGTGCTTTTTCATTTTACATCGTGGCCAGGGGAGTCTTCTGTGCTCTTTTCTCTGGAGCACCTAGAGAGCCGTGCACTGATAGCTTTTGAATGGGGAAAAAAACATTTTATGCGCATATCACTCATTATTGTAGCCCCAATATACTGTAAGTGTACTGCCTTTTTTTTATTTTTATTTCTGTGAATCTTGGATTGGATTTTTAAATATGTCTTAAATGTTTCACTTGATTTGAAAATAAACGTATTATATTGGCATTAAAATATGTATAATTTTTACTTGATACTGTGGTGATTTAATGTTTGAATATTCTTATATGTAAAATCCACACTTACACAGTGAATGAGCTGTGGCTTAGCAAAAAGGTAAGTTTAACAAAACAATTGACAAAAACTTCCATTACAAACTAGATAAAATTACAACCCATTATATTTCATACAGGACACTTGTGTTTGTCATACACATACTTTAAAAATATATAAAATATTTAAATATTCTAATGTAATTATGTTTTCAATTATTTTATGCAAAAAGTAGGCTTTGCCTCACAGCTCCACCACATCTTTACAAAATCCAGCTGTTTTTCACGCACAGAGAGCTCAGCACCAGGGATATACTAATTGGGTAACTGAGCTACAAACATGGAAAACACAGCCATTTCATTAAGTACACCTGTTTAACTGCTCGGTAATGCAAACATCCAATCAGCCAGTCACATGGCAGCGCCTCAGTGCTTTTAGGCATGTAGACATGGTCAAGATGACCTGCTGAAGTTCAAACTTTTGAATGGCATCACATCAGAATGGGGATGAATGTAGATTTAAGTATTTCAGAAAGTGTTGATTCTA